ACCTTTTATTCAAGAATTGTTTCTGTGCAGACGGTTTTGGAAGGAGCACCGCTCAGGTTTGACATCTCTGTAAACAATGCTCAGTTCGTTATTGAGATCATAGTTTTACATTGATCTAATCGGATTTCTAGAGCAATCTTCACCATCAGGTAAGAATATTGATTTAAGTTATATTATTTTTATCAAGTTTGTCCAATTTTATTTTTAGAGAAGCATTTTAGCACGGTAAACACATTTATCACAAGTTGTATTATCTTATTGCCAACATAAACGATTTACAGAAACACGTAACGCTACATAAAAACGCATTAAGGTACATTCATGAATGATCAACATCAGCTAAAACGAGTCTGGAAATCCTCCTGTGAAGCTGTCGTTAGGTCTGCATTGAGTTCATCATGAATGTGAATCAAGGCACCGTCGGCAGTGATCCGGTGATACTCGCCACCGCTGGATATGATCATACCGTCCGGTTCTGGCAGGCTCACAGTGGCATCTGCACGAGAACCGTCCAGCACCAGGACTCCGTATCCTTCACGAGCAAGAGCTGTGCCTCGCAGATACACAGACTACACTTTTCAAATCGTATTTCAAATCGTAAAATCGCAAATCGTATTTTAAAAATGTACTTTCAGTTAATGTAATATTACAGAAATAAAAAGCAATTTCAGTATACCTTAATGATTGTCATGTTTCTTAAAACACTTAAAAAAAGTAATAATTGTAATAATGACATATTAGAAGTTTAGGTAACATGTAATGTCATTTGAAGAAGTACTTTTATTTTGATGTTATGACTAAGATACTAAAGCACATGTAAAGTATAATTTTAGCTAAATTTTAAGTATAATGCAGCATCATTACTACAAATGTGTAATTACAAATATATTTAAATACTTAGTTGATGTGCATTATTTTAGTAGAAATTACATTAAAATATATTTTTGTTACCATAAATGGTTTTTAATAATACATTAAGCAATTCACTTTAACCATATTTCAAAGACAATGTAAGTAATTATAAAATTACATTTAAAAATGTACTCAAGTCCTATCTAAGTGGCTCAAAAAGCACACTTAAGTTTAACTAATTGCATTTCATTTAGCTCAAAACTTCAAACATTTTCATTTAATTGCAAACAACATTTTTTGAAGTATATTATTTCCATAATAAGGACTCTGAAGTGTACTTTCCCCCCCACAAGGAACTGCTGGTACATCCTGTGCTGTAGGATTAGTGAGTTTATTTAGGTGCAAAAATACCTTCAAGATGCTTAACTCAAACACCAGCAGGTCAATTCCCTTGAAGTGACACCTGATAGGAGCATGATTGCTGCTACTGGTAAGTTCAGCATGTGCCTCGTTATATATAAAGCTGTAAATTATGCAAACAGTACTTCCCTTTCATCTCTGCCTGTATAGTTTACACACTGTAATTTTTTCTCTCTTGCATTTTAGGTTATCAACACATACGCATGTATGACTTAAACTCAAATAATCCAAACCCTGTGATCAATTACGATGGTGTCAGCAAGAACATCACATCTGTTGGTTTTCACGAGGATGGGCGGTGGATGTACACGGGTGGAGAAGACTGCATGGCTCGCATCTGGGACTTGAGGTAGGGCCTAATGAATGCCGTCTGCTGTGTCTATAAAGGCTGTTTAGAAATGTGTTTCTTGAAGTACTGTTTTCATTCAGGTCAAGGAATCTACAGTGCCAAAGAATATTTCAAGTCAATGCACCTATTAATTGCGTGTGTCTTCATCCCAATCAGGTCAGTTGGATATTGTTTTAGTTTCAATATTTTATTATCTGCTACTACTGCAGCTATTACTACTGCTCACAAGAACACCAATCAAAAGTACATTTTCTTTCTGAATGTATTTGCTTTAGGCTGAATTAATTGTTGGGGACCAAAGTGGTGTTATCCATATCTGGGATTTAAAAACAGACCACAATGAACAGCTCATCCCAGAGCCAGATGTGTCCGTCAATTCAGTCCATATCGATCCTGATGCCAGTTATATGGCTGCAGTCAACAGCTCGGTCAGTAACCAATAACAAACAAATGTTATTCAATATTTCACACTACTAATGTGGTTGAGATAATGTGTACTGCATATATATCAACACTGTATCAGAATCAGGTTTGGTTATTGTTTTTGATTGTAGGGCAACTGTTATGTGTGGAATTTGGCTGGAGGAATCGGCGATGAGGTGACACAACTGATACCCAAGACCAAGATCCCTGCCCACAAACGCTACTCATTACGTTGCAAATTCAGCCCAGACTCCACGTAAGTGTCTTACAGAAAAGCTAAACTAAGGAACCGGGAGAGATCAGTGACTTTTTGTTTTACAATTATTATACAAATCAGTGCATCAATATTTTCAACTCTTTGCTAGATTGTTGGCCACATGCTCTGCTGACCAGACCTGTAAAATCTGGAGAACCTCCAACTTCTCTCTGATGACAGAGTTGAGTATAAAGAGTAACAACCCAGGAGAGACGTCCCGAGGCTGGATGTGGGATTGTGCCTTCTCTGGAGATTCACAATACATAGTTACAGGTGAACATACACAACATACACAGTCCAAATGTTTTACTAATACGAGAAGATCATAAGTTTATATGACCATTGCAGAATCTTTGGTCCCACATTATATGAGGTGTCTTCAATAGCATAGTTCACCTGAAAGTGAAAAATCTGTAATCATTTGCTCACCCTCAAGTTGTTCCAACCCTGTATGAGTTTCTTTCTTCTGTTGACTACAAAAGAAGATATTTTCAAGAATATTGGTAACCAAACAGTTGTCGATTGCCATTGACTTCCATAATATGAAAACAAAATGCTATGGAAGTCAATGGCTTACCAATATTTTTCAAATGATCTTCTTTCGTGTTCAACAGAAGAAAGAAACTCATACAGATTTGGAACTAGTGGAGGGTGAGTAAATGTTGACAGAATTTTAATTTATCCCTATCTATCCCTTTGTATTTGCATAAAAAAAAAAAAATTATTGTTTGGTACAATGTACTTATTGTGTTCATGTTGTATTGCAAAACACTTTTGCTGCTATTGAGGTAGGATACATGTAACTTTTACAGTCCTGTTCTGCATGTACATACTACTGCACATTGTAGTAATTTCAATAACTGGGTAATAACTAGGTAGTAGGCCTGAACCTACCCCTAAACCTAACCTTAACCCATGTATTTACTTATATTACTCAGTTCTGTCTTGGATATGTAAGTACACGTACAGCAAAATAAAGTTTTGTGGTATGGTTAGGTTTAAAGGTGGGTTAACGGCTTTGTTATTACAGATGTTTCTACTAGTGCTGTCAAATCAATTAATCACATCCAAAATAAAGGTTTGTGTTTGCATAATATATGTATATATAAATACATGCACATACATGTATATATTTAAGAAATTTATAAATATGTGTACATATGTACATGTAAATATTTCTTATATATATAATGTATGTGTCAGGTGTTTTGACCTAGTTTTCTCTTGTGTTTGATTGTGTTCATTGCTCCCAGATGTGTCTCATTATTAGTTGATCCCTTCACCTGTCATGCCCTCGTTTGTGTTGTGTATTTAAAGTGTTCTGCCCTATGTTTCTGTGTCGAGTCTCTAACGTTAGTTCCCCATTGCTACGTGCTTGTTCCTGGTTCCTTTGGATGATTAACGACTGTTATTATTGTTATTCTCTCGTCTCTTCGTTCCTCACTCCACCGCAGTAAGCAACCATGACAGTATGTGTGTGTATTTATATATACATAGAAATATAAACAGCACACACATATATTACGTAAACAAACTTTTATTTTGGATGCGATTAATCGATTTGACAGCACTAGTTTCTACAGATATTACAGATTTAGTTATTTGTAGGTATTTTTCAAATATAAGTACAATGTAATAATATGTTTGTAAGTACATTGTATCAAATTATTAATTTAAATTGTAGTAGATAGTAGTAAAAGACAGATGTAAAATGGGTCTGAATCTTATAGATGTTTAATATTTTTTTTAACACTAAGAGATTTGTTTTTATGTTCCGCAAGATAAAATAATACTTTATACAAATCAAACTATCCTACGGAGCCCTGCACATGACATGCAAGAAAAAATAAATAAATCGTGCGCACGATTTACTAATTTGTTCCCTCGATTTGCTAAATCGTGCACATAATTTACTAATCCGTTCTCTCGATTTATAAATAGTGTGCTCGATTTAGCAAATCGTGCACACAATTTATAAATCAAGAGAGCAAAATAGTAAATCGTGCACAAGATTTAGCCTACTATTTAATTTAAAAAAAAAAAAATTTCCCCTTTCCCTGCATGCCATGTGCAGGGCTCCGTACTATCCTGTTCAGAAGTTTACTTTCTTTTTCTTAATATTGTGTATTGCCTCTTGGAGCATCAATAACATACTTTTGTAATGGTTGAGTATCAGTCCCTCAGTTGTCCTGAGTTTGCAGACTGTTCTTTTTTTTATATATATAGAATCTTGTGAAGAATTTGTATTTATGTTTATTTTGATGTAATTTTTCAGCCTCCTCAGATAACCTTGCACGCCTGTGGTGTGTGGAGACTGGAGAGATCAAACGGGAGTACAGTGGCCATCAGAAGGCCGTGGTGTGTTTGGCCTTCAATGACAGTGTGCTTGGATAGTATGCAGAAGCAGCTCATTCTTCTGGTCATAACATCTGCATCTCATAACCATCCTCATGGTATTCAATGGACAGCATACAAGTGTAAAAATCAAAGTTTTTGTTGCATTAATGAAAACCCTTAATGATGATAATGACTGATCAAAAAACGTTCTAAATGTTGTATCCTTATCGTAGCAAATTCAAATGTATGTTAGGATGCATGTACTCAGTTTTTGCACCTACAAGATTTGTCAATAAATATATTTAGCTTTTGATTATCCAAACATCACTGAATTTATTCCCTTTCTAGAATTAAATACTCATTCAAATATCTATAAATGTTTGAACATAATGGCGCTTTATTGTAGACCAACAGTGTTTTCCATTACTCATCTGCATCAGGTTACAAGATACAAGCTGGAGTGAGTCTTAGAGCAGAGTCATGTTCAAACGCCACTGGAAAATGGGGCTAAATACTAGAGAAGGTGAAGATAAGGATTTAGCAGATAACATGACAAGATGGTTCCACCTTCGTTGCCAGACTGGCATTAAATATGGCATTTGTGTAGCCTCTCCAGTTGGTCTCATGGATGTGAACGCATTTGTTTGTTTCCCTGGCATGTGCTGGTACACCGTCAGTGGAATGTCACTCTGGCAAGTAGTAGAAGCACACAGAAACACAAATGTTGCTGGGAAAGCAGATGTCGATGCAGAAGTAAATAAGTCTTTGTTTCCCGGGACCTTCAGGAAAAAAAGAAAAAAATCTCAAGGTTCTTATTTCTATGAATGTGCCAATGACAATCATAATCGATGTCCTGTTCCTCGTTCATGCTCTGCTGGTTGCAACTCTAAAAAAGGTCGCAACTTCATCTCACTGCACTACTGGATTAGGTTTCTGTCACTGTGCTCTTTAAAGAGCAACTCAGCATGTTCTTGGCTTGTTACGAAGTGTCTCCTATACATTCTCTTGTCGCAGAAATAATTTTTTTCCGCAGAAGGAATATTCTGGCTACAATTTTAGCTCAATACAGCATTTTGATTAACACACAACTTTTTTTCTTTACAAACGAAGTGAGGCACTTACAATAGAAGTGAATGGGGCCAATTTGTAAATGTTAAATTCACTGTTTCAGTAGTATAGCAACAAGATACAGTGTAATCTATATGCGTTTAAACATGATTTCAGTGTAAAACTAATAAATATCCTTTATAGCTTTTCTATGTGACGTTATATCCAAATGAACTTAAGAACTTAATCGCAATTTATCTAATCTGACCCCTGATTTCACAGACAAGGCTTTTAAGCCTAGTCCCAGACTAAAATGCATGTCTGAGCCGTTTTAATTTAAATCTTAAAATATCAGTGCCAACGTTTTGTCTCAAGATACACACCAGTAATGTTTTTTTTTTTTGTCTAAGGCACGTTTATAAAAGATACTTAAATGTCCTAGTTGAACTATGGCCTAATCCTGGTTTAACCTAAACCCTGTCTGAGAAAACCAGCCTTAATCTTACAAAGTAATCATAACGCAACTACTTTACCCATTAAATATTATAAAAGTTGTAACAGAAGAATGTAAGTGGAATGTTTATATGGCTAAAATTATATGCCGTTTTAAGTATTAATTGGCCCCTTTTCAAATCTATTGTAAGCGCCTGTCATTGTAACCTTGTCTTTTGTGGTAATTGACATTATGCCACAAATGTGGCTGATTGATCATAACTCCTTAAAAGTTTGGGGTCAGTAAGTTGTTTTTATTTTTTTTGTTTTGTTTTTGATAGAAGTCTCTTTTGCATTTATTTTATACCAATCTTAAGCGTCACATGATTCTGCAGAAATCATTCTAATATGCTGATTTGGTGTTTTAAGAAAAATTGAAACCAGTTTTGCTGCCTAATACTTTAGTGAAAGCATTTCACTTTCATCTTTTGTAACATTATAAATGTCTTGACTTTCACTTTTCGATTAGTTTATTGTACCAGAATGTAATATTGTAGTATTGACTTACTCTTACCATCAGATCTTCTAGTCCAGTACACAGAGGCCTGCTGACAGAGGGACTGAAGAGGTTCTTGAAGGGTGGAAGCTTCCACACGACTGCTGGACAGCACTCCCAAAAACTCTGTGTGTTTTTCAGTCTGATTTCCCACCACCCAGACCTGACGAACCTGTGAGAATCATCACATATCTCACTGTATATCACTACCGAGTAAATTATCCTCTAATGTTGTGATACAGGCTCACTATATTGTTCCTGTGTGAACGCATACGCTGTATAACTCCCAATCGTATAATTGTGTCTTGAGGGGTTTAAGTGTTTCCTCTAGTACAAAAGGCATTTGTAATTACACCACTTACTCCTCTGAGAGATCAGATAGACACTTGCTAAAGCGGAGTAATGCTTGAGCGAGCCTGCGACAGGCAGTTTATGCTTCTCAATAGCTCATTGTGCAGCAAAAATTGGAAATCTTGTTCAAAAGGCTATTGACCATGGATTGAGTTTCCAAAAAGTTTTCTAATGGCTTTAATCAAATGCAATGATGCAAAAATCTCAACTGAGACCAAGGTTTTAAGTGGTCAGCGATACTTATCGGTTCATCAACCCATCCCGTTCTGCACAGATCATAACCCAGTGCATGAATCACCTTGTTAAGTTCTGAGAAAAGTGTGTCCAACACAGGTCTCTGCTCTGTTTGGCGGAAAAGAGCTCTGTCTTTCCAGTATAGTGACTTATAAGAGGAAAAAGCCAACAGAGTGGCCATTGTGCACCCTGTGGTCCCATCCTGTAATGCGATCCAGCCAAGGTGGATCAGATGGTCTGTGGAATTCGGACTCGGCTACACTAAAGCCCTCCTGAGTTGGTGCGGTCCATTAATCCCTTTCTGGAGTCACGGAGGAGAAAGCAGCCAAAAGAGCTCTCTAATCTACCCAAGAGCACTGGGGTGGTGCCACGTTCAAGTGTCAGTCAATTTGACAGCCACCTTTACGTTTAGGTACATATGGTGTATAAATTCTTAAAAAGCTGCTGCGTCCGAAAGAACAAGATCCGGTTAAATACACCAAAGCATTTCACTCTGACATTCTCGTTCATATGGTAAAAATAGGAGACTTGACAATTACATTTCTGTGATTTTTCAGTGTCACATGATCTTCCAGGAATCATTCTAATATGCTGATTTGGTAACATTTCTTATTATCAATATTTAAAAAAATTGTTTTTTAAGTTGCATTGCTTAATATCTTTGTGAAATCCATTATACTGTTTTCCCCCCTATTTTTTGATAAATAGGAAGTTTAAAAACAGCATTTATTTGAAACAGAAATCTTGTTACATTATAAAATACTGTCATTTTTGATTGATTTATTGCATATATGCTGAATAAAACATTCATTTCTTTCAAAATAAATAAATCTTACTGACCCAAACTTATAGTACACTCTCAAAAATAAAGGTTCTTTATTGGCATCTATGGTTCCATGAAGAACATCCATGGAACCGTTTCCACTGGACAAAAGGTTCTTTATAATGGAAAAGGTGCTTAGATACTTAAAATGTTCTTCACGCCAAGAAAAGAAATGGTTCTTTTAAGAACTGTCCACTGAAAGGTTCTTTGAAGAACCCAAGTTGGTCCTTCCATGGCATAGCTGCAGTGAAAACCCCCTTTTGGAACCCTTATTTTTTTGCAGAGTGCAGTGCATATATTTAATATAAAGTAATATTGTACGATTAGTTTGCCATAATCACACAATCTTCTGGTCCATTACAAAAACAGGAGACTCAACAAGCAGAAATCTTTTACCTGTTGCTCCGACTTGTTTAGTTGAGACTGCACATTCTCGTAATCCAATCTTTCCATCCGGCGAAGAAAGCAGCTGTCCTGGTTGTCAGGTTTATAGCATACCAGCCCCTGAGGAAGAGCAATATATAGGGAAATGTCACTGAGCTTTAGAGGAAAAGCCTAATCCGTAGAGAAAGAAAAGGGCCTTACGTGTCTCATGTCAAAAATCACTGTGGAGGTGTGGTTGGCATGGGAAGTCACAGAGTAAGTCACTACGCTGTTGTGCTTGTCAATCAGAGCCGACTGACTGATCAAGTCACCTGTGTGATCGGGAAATCTGACAACCTGCAATGAAGACTGTGCGGAAAAGTTTTCGTTTTCAGTGCTAAAGTTTAAAGCAAGACACAAGTGATATCATATCACCATATTTTCCTTGCTGATTAATCACAGTACATCAAAACAAGTGTTTTGCATTTGTATTCAAAAGGTTTTTGAAATGTTACATTTAAATATGCAAATAAGGAATTGTGTAATTACATAGGCACTAATTTGCATAGATTGAAAGAAACATTGGATAAAGCCAGATTCAAAATTCTAGTCTGATTTTGATATATTAAAGGTTTTTACAGAGAGAATTTTGTGTACTTATGACTCCATAAAATACTGTCAAAATACAAATACATTTTCGCCATGTTTTTAGAAGTAAAATGGTATATAAATCAGGTGATGATATATGAACCATAAGAAAACAAATTGATATTTTCTTTCCACTAGTAGTGCATGGGGGGGAAAAAACAAACAATGGTTTACTGGTGTCTTGCCTTAAAAATGCTTGAAAATAGGGAATGCCTGGACTCTTACTTGTGCCTTGTGCTGTAGCCCTAGATGTGCGGTCACACCGAGAGCGATGATAACAATGAGCAGCATGGCAGCAATACAGCCCCAGAGAACTTTGTGAGGAACCCTAGAGGAGCTCATAGGACCACAGTGCTAGAAAATCCAAGCACACAATCATCTCCCTCCATGCTACATTTAAAGCATATTCACATTAAAGAATATTTATGGTTTGTACACATAAGCAAGCAATAAAACACAGCTAAGCAAAACTGACATATTTGTGAAACAATCTAAAGTATGCGTACTGCTAATGGAAAACAGCAATGAACTCTCACCATGTTCTGTGGGTCCTCCAGACTGGCTTCTGAACGCTTCCAGCACCTCACCATTCTGCCCTGTTTTGCTTCTCCTCACTGTACCTGTCTTACTTCTTTCTGTGTAAGGCAATGTTCATGACTGAGACTGACCAGCGGTGCCTGCGGTATAGGTGACTAACTCCTCTCTGCCATCCTCTGCCCCCCACCTCTTGCCTCACACCAGGTAGTCCAACCCACTGGCTGACTACCCCTATACCAGACAATAGACAAAGGAGACAGGTAGATCGGCACTGTGGACAGGGCTTTTCGTCGCAGAGCCAGTTTTAAAGGCATCGACTGGCCATGCCCTTAGGCTGCTGACGGACCAAGGTGACTTTAATAACTTCAGAGGTGGTTATAGTGAGAAAACTGAAGTGCAGTCTCATTACAGGGAACCCAAAAATTAAAACGGTGTCATCATTTACTCACTCTCATGTCGTTCCAAAACTGGGTGACCTTCTTTCTTCTGGGGAACGTGAAATAAGACATTTAGATGAATGTCGAGAACCACAGTTTTCAAAATATAATTTCTCGAAACATTGTCTTTTATGTACCCCAGAAAAAAGTAAGTTCGGTAAGTAGTGAATTTTCATCCATTTAAGAAAAAGAAAACGTAGTACACTTTTCATTAACAATTCTTATTTATTTGATCCGTTAAGCAAAATGAACACTTTGTTCAAACCATGGTGAAGAAGTAAAATCCTACCAGGTTTACGGGTTCGTGAGTGACAAAGCTGTCAAGTGCAAAATATAATAATTAAAAATATTCATAATATTCTCTCACTCGTTATATTACAAGTACAGTGAATTAACAGTACAGAATTGAACAAGTACTTCTGATAAAATAAAAACAAACGGCACAATTTAGACTAAGGGTCACTTGTTTTGTAGCACCTGAGTGTTACTGACCAGAAAACACATATTACAATTTTTTTTAGACAAAATAAAACAAACTTTAACACTAAAATGAAAACGTATTGCCCTTATATTACCTTAAAATAAAAACGGTGGGATATTTAAAAAAAGAGGTAGGCCAGTTTGAAATGAAGCCTTGATGACATACTGCATATATTTGTAGAGACAAACAATTTCTATTAAACCTATTTAGATGAACTGTAATATTAAAATATTGATACCCATATATTGATAAATATTCTCTATTAAAGTGGGTAAATTCCAAGCAGACGCTGACTATGCTTGTAGTGCAGGTAAAATGTCAGCAATGCTCTCTATATAGTAGTCAGGCACCATTTTCTGCCGTTGTGGACATTCACTCTTCTGGTTTGCCTCAGCTTCTGCTACAGTAGAAACTCCCGTGAGGGTCAGCAGGGTCTTCAGGCCACAGTTTGAGCCTAGCATGATGTCCGTGTCCAGTCTATCTCCGACCATCAGACACCTCTCAGGGTCCAGACCGAACTGGCTGGCCACACACTCGAACATGAAGATGTTGGGCTTTCCGACCACTTGAGCTTGGCGCTGCGCAGCGGTCTCTACCGCCCTTAGGAGGCACCCTGTCCCTGCAGACAAGCGGAAGACAAGGTCGTTGTGATAACACGACACGACACGACTCAAGGTAATGCATATTTGTGATGTCATTCATGTCTGCTTACCCGGGACCGCTTTGCCTCCCTCCAGAGGCAGCCTCGTGTCCGTGTTAGTTCCCACGAACTGACAGTCGGGGTTCCACAGGTACTGCAGAGCTCTGTTGAGCTTCATGTAACTGAAATGCTCATCAAAGCCGACCAGTACAGCTCGAACCTCATTATCGAGAGGAACATTCGCCCAGTCTTTCTGAACTCCTGAGACGGGGTCAGGCCCCACACCGACCGGCCGGATCCCCACGTCCTCGAGCTCCTGCCTCATCGCATTGCTCCCAATTAAATAGACTTTTCCGTCGAGTTTACAGACATTTTTGAGGTACACCGCCGAGCAGTACGCGGTCCCGAACACCTCGTCCGCGGAGGCATCGAAACCGAGTTTGCCTAATTTATCCGCGTACATTTGTCGGGTTTTCGTGCTGTTGTTTGTGACAAAAAACACCCGTTTTCCGTTTTTCTTCAATGAATTGATAACCTCAGGGGCTCCAGGGATGGCTTGGTCCCCTCTCCATATTACGCCATCGCAGTCAAACAGCACACTGTCCACAGAGTCCAGTAACTGTCTGCTCAGAACTCCAGTCAGTCGCGTACACTTAGATGCAGCCATTCCTCAAGTTACTCTCGATCGTCTTTCTTGTCCTCGGTCCGTCCTAAAATAACATTTGATCTTCACCTATCGACGAATAGTCCGCTGACTAGACGGAGATCAGCTTATGTCAGAATGACAGCGAACTGGAAATTACTAGTTGCGGCAACCGAACGGCACACTGCCTTGTGCAAGTGATTCATCGTTTGACACTGTACGTGACGTTTTATACTAGTAAAGCACTTCCGCACCGGTTTAAAGGGCCAGTGACCCTAATAAAATGTTATGAAATAGACCTTGGGTAGGTGTCATTTTAACATTTTTAAATCATTTTAACATTTGAAACCCAGGCTCTGAGGAAAACATGTACTTTACTCTGTTATAGAGTATTTTTGTAGACCAAAACCACAAAAAAATTTAGCATTTTTAAAAAAGCTATGTCTTGGAAAAGGCAGTTGTTAACAAGTGGCATTAAACCTACTCCACTCACACACTAGTCTGCTTTCATGTTGCATTTAGAGCCACACTCTAACCCATTATTCTAACCATTATTCTATATTCTATATATACACACACAGAGAATTCAGAAACTATTCAGACCCCCTTCACATTTTTCAATTTTGTTATGTTGCAGCCTGATACTACAATTGTTTAAATTCATTTTTTTCTCATTAATCTACACTCCATACCTCATAATGACAAAGTGATTTTAAATTTATTAAAATGAAAAAACTGAAATATCAAATTAAATTGATTGGTAAATTAAACCGATTGGACATGATTTGGAAAGGCACACAACTCTCTATAAAAGACCTCACAGCTGACAATGCATTTCAGAGGTTTGCCAACCGCCAATAAAAATTTAAAGAAGAATGCATATCAGAGCGAAAACCATGCCATGAAGTCAAAGGAACTGCCTGCAGAGCTCAAAGACAGGATTGTATTGAGGCACAGATCTGGGGAAAGCTACAAAAAAAAAGTCTGCTGCACTGAAGGCTTCCAAGAGCATAGAAGCTTCCATAATGGAAGTTGGAATGGAAGTTTGGCACAACCAGGACTCTTCCAAGAGCTGGTCGTCCAGCCAAACTGAGCAATTGATGGAGAAGGGCCTTGTGAGTGAGTGAGTGAAGTGACATGTGGCCAAGTATGGTGACCCATACTCGGAATTAGTGCTCTGCATTTATCCCATCCAAAGTGCACACACAACACACCAGGAACACACACCGGGAACATCGCAGTGGGCAGCCATTTTTTGCTGCGGCGCCCGGGGAGCAGTTGGGGGTTCGGTGCCTTGCTCAAGGGCACCTCAGTCGTGGTATTGAAGGTGGGAGAGAGCGCTGTACATTCCCTCCCCCCACCTACAATCCCTGCCGGTACGAGACTCGAACCCGCAACCTTTGGGTTATGAGTCCGACTCTCTAACCATTAGGCCACGACTTCCCCTTGTGTAGACTGGTGACCAAGAACCTGATGGTCACTCTAGTTGAGCTCCATGATCATATATGCAGATGGGAGAAACCTACAGATGGACAAACATCACTGCAACACTCCACTGATCTGGGCTTTATGGTGGTGTGGCCAAACTCAATCCTCTCCTCAGTGAAGACGCATGAAAACGCACTTGGATTGTGCAAAACAGCACCTAAAGGACCCTCAGACTCCGAGAAACAAGATTATCTGCTCTGATGAACCTTAATTCTAAGCATCATGTTTGAAGGAAACCTGCTCTACTCATCACCTGCAGAGTACCATCCCAAAAGTAAAGTGTACTGGTAGCAGCTTCAGGCTGTGGGGGTGTTTTTCAGCTGCAGGGACTGAGAGACTGGTCAGGGTTGAGGGAAAGCTGAATAGAACAAAGTACAGAGATATCCTCAATGAAAACCAGATCCTCAGAGCATGTCCTCTATAGAGTGAAAGTGATACTTTGACTCAAATTCTTCTGAAAAGATAAGTCAAATATTTCAGAAACAAAAAAATATTATCTCCATAAAATAATTTTATTCACCATGAGTGGATAAGAGCTTTGGATGTATCAAGGTATCAAGTCCTGATCATTAACTTTAACCCATGTATTATTCCCCATAATAGAAATGTTGCAACGTCCTCTGTAAATTGCATTGCTCTCCTAAATGCATAATGATAATTGACACGCAAGGTAAAAGTAGCATTCTTTTCAATGGCTATTTTAACTTTTTGCATCCTTTCAAGTTCATTTTATTCTTCCTAAGTCCAACACAATCTCGTATCAGTTCGTAACTACTTTGTTTTACTGAATTGGCGGCTATTTTGTATAAATTTGTACAATCACATTTGTACGCTTTCATCCAATCTGCTTATGCCCTGTTGATGGTTAAGATTTAGTGGGTTATGGGTGAACCTTTTAAGCTTTCTTTTTTTTTTTTTACTAAAAATCATGTAAGTTAATATGAAAACATACTAATTCATACAAAATCACAACCTTGTAAAATACACATTTTATAACTAGATTGGTTTGTGCAGATGACACAGACCTTGACCAGATAATGAAATGACACCTCGGGAGGATACTGTACAAAAAGTGAAAGTAATATAATGATACAATGTGAAAAGATAAACTGTGGAAATTATGGTGCAGCAATGACAGTAAACCTTGCTTTGATGTAACAATTTCTGGGAGAGGGGAGGCCATAATAGGGCAGTGTGTTCTACGAATCAGATGGCAGGAACCTTTGAGTTGGCCAATAACCAGGTACCATTTTGTGGAAAAGGGGTAACAGAGCATATTTGAACATTTATAAATGTTTTTTTTTATAATAAAATGTGTGACCCTCTGTGAAATCCAGGATAAAGTCTTAAAATCTAATTATGAGATAAACATCAAAGTTTGATTTCAACCATTAATTTCACTATGATTTCAATCTTTGATATGGTCTTACTCAGTCAATATTAAAGATACCAAGGTTACATTTTCACAGAATGTTCTTTACCTTATGAAGAATTTTATGCAGAATCAGTAAATCACTAAAAAAAAATACTTTAGCTGGGTTTTCACAGACCGGGTCACATATATACATATTTAAAAAATGTAATTTGATTATATTTAATGTTATTAAATGAAATATTTTTGTTTTACACCCTAGGTCGTCACATGCAGAATAGTGTTGACATTGGGTCATACATTGCATTTACGTATGCAGTCACCAAATATGCAATCTTGCCAGATACAAATATTACTGCCTCAAACCAAGCCTCCAAGCTAACAAGGCTTGGAGGCTTGGACCACCTATGTCAGCCCGCCAAAACACTTGGGGTGGCTGTGGCAGGAACAGCTTTCACATGGAGCGATGGCCACTCATGTCAGATCACGGACTCTGGAACTGTGGCAGTAAATAATGCAAATAAAGTTTCCATTTCATTTGCACTATTTACATTTTCCTTCTGTCTTCATGTCTATTTGATTACCTGATATGAAAAAAGAACTCAGCATTATTGTCTGATTATTAGCTAAACTTTACATCTGCTCTCTTTGTATTAAACTGTAGGATGACTATACCAAACTGTACAGTCAGAAAATCAAGAAAAATTCCTTCATCCATAAGGCTTTTTTTTTTTTTTTTTTTAACAAAGCCACTTGGCTTTGGTGTCACTCTTTTCGCCTTTTTAATTTGTTCTGTTTTTTATGATTTAGAACAGTGGGGTCCAATCCAGCTTCTGGAGGGCCAATGTCCTGCAGAGTTTAGCTACGACCCCAATTAAACACACCTGAACCAAAGCAATAAAGGTCTTTAGGATTGCTAGAATCTTCCAGGTATGTTTGGACAAGCTGAAGCTAAACTCTCCAGGATGTTGGCCCTTCAGGACCAAGACTGGACACACAATTGGTCTTCTTTGTTGTGACGAATGCCATCTTACGCTTTGACAAACCAGGCTCCCACCAGATGTCATCATTTATCATCTGCATGTCTCTGGGTTTTGGAAAGCGCCCACACACTAGTCTTAATAAGAGCACTCCCAGTGTTCCTGAAAGAAAGCGATTTGTCTGATGGATAAGCTTGAAATACAAAAGCATGTGGTCTGTGCAACATGCAAAAAACATATCTGGTGTTATTTGAGATATGTTTTATAGGACACAGTTTAACTTATCACTATAATTTAAATCCTAAATGTTTATGGCAGAATACTTACCACAGAATCTATTGTAGCCAGATTCTTGCAGGAGATCCCTGCATCCGAAATCAATCAGTTTGACTTTAAGGGTTTCTGTGTTGATCAGAAGATTCTCCAGCTTAATGTTATGGTGGAACACTACACGGCGACAGCTGATGTCAACGGCCGCTGTTGCCTTTGCGACGACAAACCATGCTATGTCCTCAACAAGGGCACCTCCACAGACCTCCAAAAAATCCCATAGATCTTTGCAGGGTGAGGGGCGTTCCAAGACCATGTAGTGTTCAGGCTGGTCCTGCTAGTCCCGCAGCTGAATGATATGTGGAACTCTTGGACCCTTATTAACAAGGATTAATAGTGCAACCTCTAATAGAAGGGGTCCGAGATGACCAGGCTAGAAGAAAGATCATTAAAAGATCAGTGGTAGATGGCTGTGCGTTCCCAAATAAGAATTTTTGTGCAGTCCATTTCTGTGACATCTATGGCAAAGAACCTTTAACATCCGAGGGACCTTTCAAACGGACAAAAGGTTCTCTATAATGGAAGAAGATTCTTCAGAGTTTTAAAATGTTCTTCAAACTAATAAAAATAAATGGAACTGAACTGTTCCTTAAAGGTTCTTTGTGGAACCAAAAATGGTTCTTCTATGGCACTACTGTGAAAGCCACCTTTTGTAGACTTTATTTTTAAAAGTGTAAACCAGGGGTCCTCAACTCTAGACCTATAGAGATCCACTTTCCTGCAGAAAAAGGAAGTTCCAAGCCTAATCAAACACACCTGAACAAGCTAATCAAGGTCTTCATAATTACTACAAAGTTGCAGGTAGGTGTGTTTAATATAAGTTGGAGCTAAACTCTGCAGGAAAGTGGATCTTGAGGTTCAGAGTTGATGACTTTTGGTGTAAACCAGTGATCCTCAAATCTGGCTCGCAAGATCCACTTTCCTGCAGAGTTTAGCTCTACCCTAATCAAACACACCTGAGTTTGCTAATCAATGTCTTCAGGATCATTAGAAAATCACAGGTAGGTTTGTTTGATTATAGGGTTGGAGCTAAACTCTGCAGGAAAGTGGATCTCGCGAGCCAGATTTGAGGATCACTGGTGTAAACCATTGGTCTCAAACTCAATTCCTGGAGGGCCACAGCTCTTTTGCTCCAACCCTAATCAAACACACCTGATCCAGCTAATCAGTGACTACGTTTACATGGACATCAGTAATCTAATTATTTACCTTATTCTAAATAAGCCAATATTATGATTATGGTGTTTACAGGAGTTGATTTTAGAATATTCCTTTCACGTTCCCGTTTTACATGTTATAGTACATAGTTCATTAATGGCACATGTCATAACGTCCCCACATGACGTAATCAAAAATATTTGTTTACATGGTCGATTCTGAATCAGAGTATTGTCTCAATCGTGTTAAAATCGGATTATTGTTGTCCATGTAAACGTACCGAGTGTCTTCAGGATTACTAGAAACTTCCAAGCAGGTATGAGTTGAAGCTGGTTGGAGCTAAACTCTGCAGAGCTGAGGCCCTACAGGAATTTAGTTTGAGACCACTGGTGTAAACAATGAAAATATATAGTGAGTGTAGCATACTTGCAGTGTAGATGTATTTTTTAATGTTCCCTGGCTTTCTGGCAATTTTCACTACCACCTGATCAACAAAACAAAACATTACAATTATTTTTGAACATCTCAAATACACAAAATAGTGAACATACTATACATCAAGAGGACTTGTAATTGACATAGTGAGATGAAACAATTTACTATAGCAAAATATTGTAAGAAAATTATGATACCTCAAGTCCATCCTCCAAGCATTTCCCTTCGTAGACAGAAGTATTCTCGCTCACCAAGCATTTTGCCGATTTCACACCGGCTCAAAATGTCGTCTGTCTGTTAACAAATAAATAATTGTGGTTTATATGAAATAGCAACTGATATTAAAGACAGCAGTATGTGTAATTAAACTTATCTCTCAATTCTCAAGTCCTCTTTGTCGTTGTATCGTGATGCTGAACTGACTGGACTGCGGTGGACTGGAGATGGAGGGGTTTGAACATGAACTGTCTTATTTTCATGAAGTGGGATTTCAAGGCCACTGGAATGCGCTTCCTGAAGACCATTATCTTTTAGAGAATTTTGATCTAAAATGGGGAATATCTGTTCATGGCCTTGATCAGTCTTCAACTTTGATATATTTTGATACAATGATTTTGATACAATGTGTGATAGTGTGGGTTTGTAACGCATTGTATTGTAACACTTCATCCTAGGGAACAGAAAATTTCCCCTAATTTAGAATTAGGTTTCCAATAATGGATACTCATAGCTAGCTGAAAAATTATGTATATTTTATGATTCAAAGAGATTAGGTACACAGAAAAACAGGACAGGTACTCTTTCTCAAATGGTCATTTGATTCGTCCTTAGGGCTTAGGGTTTACAAAGTCCTGAACAAGTTGGCCCCTCAGAGTGTCTAATTTGCTCCATCCGTAGACTCCCTATTTCTGTTTTTAGGTCTCCTTTAAACATTCTCTCAAACCTTCAATGTTCCCTGACCACTGGTTTGATCATAGTTTTACTATTGTTTTATTTCTGTATTTCTCATCGTTTTATTTTGTAATTCTTGTTTTATTTTTGTATAGAACTTAGTTTAACCTTGGATGTTTTTAAATGTGCTTTATAAATAAATATTGTAAGTTACCTTGCCTTATACATTACACAAACACAAACTGTGCACATTCATTCATGAAACTCATACAGAAAATCTTAAGTTGTCTATTTTTGCTTAAATGTTTTTTTTATTAAAAATCTGTAAATTACTTACTGTGCCCACAAATACAAAACGGAATTCAACAAAAAATTAATTCACAGACCACTATTTTCCAATGACAAAAAAAAAAATAGAACATTTAAGCTCAAAATGATTTACGTTGAATCAGTTCAGATCATGAAGAATCACAATTAATAAGAGAATAACCTTTAAAAAATGTGTTAAGATGACATCTACGGTCAAGGGGGAAATTAATTTAAACGCTGTAATATGCATGTATAAAATATATTTGGTTAAATTGTAGTAGTTTTTTTATTCATGTTGAAATTTATTTTTATAAAATGTTGAAATATGACGCTCTCATCCTTCATAACAGTAATAATTTGCTCATGTTGCCATGTAAGTTTTCTGCAACTGTACTTGATAACATGACCATATTATTAAGTGTCTCTCTTCAAGTCCTCTAGAAATACATATTTAAAAAACAAATCCTTGTCACAAAAACTATGGAATGCATGAAGTAAAAAGACATTATACTGTATGTGACTTAAAGACAGCTATTGAATGGACTGTATGGCCATCCTTGACAGCCTCATTTTCATTCACTGTAAATTTGTGTAAAACAATTGGAAACTACATTTGAACATTCTTATAAAAAAAAAAATTAAGTCAGAGAAAAGAAAAAGAAAGAGAAAATGTACCAATAATACATAAGGCTAAGAAAATATTTAAAAACCCATTTACCAAAATAAAATACAGAGAATACAAATAGACAGTTAAAAACAAGAACAATAATGCACTTTCTCTAGTTTTCTTTTTTCTCAACAGGACATAAGGGCCAAAAGATTTCCCCAAGGTTTTTGAGGATTCCCCTGTGATAGAAACCTCTAAATGGATTGTATGAGGTCCAGCAGTTATGTGCAGAATATGGATGGCAATGCTGGCAGTTGTGACCTTTTCCTTTAAACCACTCATTGGAGGTTTGATTTATCAAAGCCAAATACATGTGAAACATGGAATAACCCGCCAAGAGGAAAAAGACAAATATCAAGAAGCCCAGCATGAAGACAATCTTTGGAAATGTCAGAAAGAGATGCTGTAACAAGAAATGCAGTGGAAAAAGTTTCATTAGAGAGACAATTCATGTACCCCAGCACAATTACTAGTTTTACTAGACTATTTCTGTGGTAAGTCATTATTACCTGGATGATAAAGAGCGGTCCAGCGGGCTGTTGCTCACCCTGCTCATCAATGTAGTGAGCATGCAGGAGTCCAGTTCGTAGAACAGCTTGGAGCAACATGTCTGCTGTAAGCACTGCAATATTGCCTGCCATGGCGCAGACACTCAGAAGGTACAGAAGGAAGTATCTGGTGTTCTGGGCACCGATGCAGTTATTCACCCACACACAATGATGGTCAAATCTCTGGACACAGCGATTGCAAACCCCTGAACAAATTAGATCAATAGCATTTGTTGCATAATGTGGGGGAAATAATAAATAAATAAACACCACTTACACTAATGGGTGCACTGGGCCATTATTAATCATTATAATAATATGAATTATAATAATAATAATAATAATAGCTTGTTTCGCTCAATTATTGTTTCTTGTTTGTTTTTAAACTAAGGGACAAAGGAAATTAGTTTGTGATTAACAACATAATGCTACTTAACAGAATGCGGAAAACTATTTAGTTTATGTGATATCAAATGGGTTTAGTAATAGCTGGTTCACAGCCGAGGTAATTAGTAGCTAAACTTTTATATTAGGATACCTTGACTACAAGGACACAGTTACAAAAGAAAAAAAAGAAAAATAAATGTATGGGTTAAAAAAATATGGTAGCAATGTTTTAAGTTTTACAGATTTAACTGAAATCTACAGTTAAAAAAATTGAATTAAATCATCATATGTTTATATCATCGTACAAAAATTTGTTTTGTACCTTTTATAATATAAAAAAAAGTGGAGGAGAGAAAGACTTTATTGCAAGTAGCTTTTCCACAAACTAAGGGAAATAACAATACCAGGTGCACAGAGTCACAAATACAAAGTAACACGCAACACTAAAATAATGAAATAAACATTAATTTAACAACATACATTGTAAAATAAAATGCTTGTGTACATGACTGATTTAAAAACTGAGAAGAAACAACTAATAAAATGAAAACCACAGGGAATTCAATTCAATTCAATTCTGATCATGTACTGGTTACTCCACTACACACATCGGATCACTTCCTCCTCACTCTTAACCTCAACACGATTCCTGACACAACACATACCCCTCCACATGCCATCTTTCGACGTAACCTACACTCACTCTCACCCTCCCAGCTATCTGCTATGGTTTCATCTTCGCTTCCTCCCCCTAAACAGTTAGCATCTCTTGATGCAAATAGTGCTACTGATACTTTCTGCTCCACTCTTTCATCTTGTTTAGACACTGTCTGCCCCTTGTCTTCCAAGCCAGGCCGTACCACCACCTGCTGATTTTGACACGGTTAACAACCAGATCCTCCTGCCAACCCTATTGGCAAAGGACATCTCAGGAACCGCACTCCAGTGGTTTGAGTATTACCTCTCAGATAGGTCCTTCAAGGTATCTTGAGGTGAGGTGTCCAAGTAGCAACATCTAACTACTGGGGTGCCTCAGGGCTCAGTTCCTGGACCACTACTCTGTCTACATGGCATCACTAGGCCCTGTCATTCAGAAACATGGCTTTTCATATCACTGCTATGCTGATGACACTCAACTCTACCTCTCATTCCATCCTGATGATCCGACGATAGCTACTCGCATCTCAGCATGTCTAACAGACATTTCTTGCTGGATGAAGGACCATCACCTTCAACTCAACCTGGCTAAGACAGAAC